TTGATGACATCTGTGAAACGGGTGTACATGTCTCCGATGGACTCACTTGGTTTCATCCAGAAAAGTTCATAAGAATGCACAAGAATGTTGATTTTGGACTCTTTCACTCGGCTAGTGCCTTCATTAGTGACCTCAAGAATTCTTCAAATATCAAAAGCCGAATCACAATTCGAAACGCGATTAAATTTATTTTTGTCAAGTGCACAATATAAGACATTCATAGCCTTTGCATTTAGAGAAAACATCTTCTTCTCCAAATCATTCCAATGGTTCATTGAAAGAGAAGATATTTCAAATCTATTTTCGACTATATGCCATAAATTCAAATCCAAAGAAAGTAAAAAAACGCTCATTCGAGTTTTCCAATAAGTGTAGTCTGTCCCATTGAAAAAGGGAGGATGAATGAGAGAGCAACCCTCTTGAAGGCCGAAAAGAGCTATTTCTATTTGGGTGTTAAACCAAAGTAGAAAACCGTGGCTCTGATACCAATTGTTAGGATCGGAGTGGCACTAAGAGGGGGGGGTGAATTAGTGCAGCGGATTAAAATTTATAAGTTTAAAAACGATTTCGAAAATACGAGGAGATTTCGTTTTGATAGTAACTTGAGTAGATGAAAACCGAAAGCTAGCAGTAGTGTAAATAACAATTTCAGGAAAGTAAGAACTCACACATTCATGGAACACACCAATTTAAAGTGGTTCGGTCAAAATAACCTACATCCACTTGCGAAGCCTTCTTCGAAGAGGTTCCCAACTTCCACTAGCAAATCATTTTGAAGGGGAAGGACAAATACCCCTCTTACAACATTTTATAGTGGTTCATACTCTTACAAATTTTCAACGAGAAAGAAGGAGGTGAACACTCAAGCAATTGAAAACAAGACTTGTTAAAGACTTTGCTAAGGCTTTTATCTCAATCTATTGCTTCTCAAAGGTTGTGTTCTCTGCTAAGAATTGAGGGGTATTTATAGACCCCAAGAGGATTCAAATTTGGGCTCCAAATTTTGAATTCTCTTAGGTTCCCGATGCTGGCGGTGCCACCGCCTATCAGTGGTGGTGCCACTGCCTGTCAGTGTCTGACACTGACAGTATACTGGCGGTGCCATCGCCCAGCCCGGTAGTGCCACCGCCAAACCTCTAAGGTGCTCGGCGGTGCCAACGCCCAGTTCGACGGTACCACTACCCGATCCTTCGGGTTCTGGGTGGTTCCATCGCCCAGTTTGGCGATGCCACCGCTTGGACTGTTCCAGCTCACTGGTTGGGCTCCAAACTTGGCCCAAACCAGTCCAAATTCGGGCCCAGTTGGCCCCTAACCAGATTATAGGATTAACTCTTAATCCTAACCCTAATTACATATAAATTATGAAGTTAAGACATAGTCCTAGGCAGATCTTATAACCGGCAACGTCGAGTTTCCTTTCGGCGAGCTTTCCGGTGATCTTCCGGTGGACTTCCGATACACCCTCGGATATCTTCCGGCGGACTCCCAGCAGGCTCCCATTCTTTTGGCGAGTTCAGCGAGTAGCCGAGCCTTCTCGGTGATCTCCACGAACCTCCGACGATCTCTTTGGCGGACTTCTGAAAACTCCGACAAGTCCCCGATTTCCTCTCGGTTGGTTCCGGCAGCACCTCCGATGAATCTTCAAAGAGTATAAGAATGAAGTGGAGAACCAGACTGAAAAAAGTATTAAGACTCTTCGATCAGATCAAGGAGGTGAGTACTTGAGTACAGAGTTTACCTAGTTTCTCAAAGACCATGGGATTCTACCTCAATGAACACCTCCTTATACACCTCAGCTCAATGGTGTATCTGAATGGAGGAATCGTATACTGTTAGACATGGTGTGGTCCATGATGTGTTTCACTGACCTACCTATCTCATTCAGGGGATATGCCGTAGAGACCGCAGCTTACCTTTTGAACAGAGTTTCAACTAAATCGGTAGTGTCTACACCATATGAGATATGGAAATGGAAGAAGTCTGATCTTAAGGTTGTTAAGATTTGGGGTTGCCTTACTTGTTAGAAACGAGTCGATACTAAGAGGAAGGGGGGGGGAGCGGTGGTGAATTAATGCAGCGGTAAAAACGTCAGTTTAAAAAATCTTCGTACGATTAAAACTGACCAGAAAGATGTTTAACTTAAAAACACTTACGTAAACATATAACGAGGAAGTAGAGCATTGAGAGTAAAGAAGGGTAGTTTACAGTAAATGCAAATTGCAAGAAGTAATTATAAACCGAGTTATATCGGTTCGGTCATCGTGACCTATATCCACTCCACCGATTCCTCTTCCGTCGAAGCCATCGGCATCCACTAACAATCTTCTTTCAACGGGAGAAAGGAACTCAACTTTCTAAGGTTTACAACTTTAAAATCACAAAGTTTTGGCTCAACTTTCTTTTATCTCCATACAGGAATAGCTGGGTTATTTATATGTTGAATCTCGGATTTTGATGATGAAATCAATTGATAAGTGTTTATGAATTGATCTACGTTTTAAGTGACACGGGATGCTTTGATTAGGATGAAACAATTAAAGCAGGAAGAATCATGTTGGGTCGGTGGAACATTTCAGAAGATTGGACGTCTAGTTGGAGGCTCGGATGACATATCAAGAGAATGCTTCAGGCCATGGATTTGGGCATTGGGCTAAGAAGAGTGGAAATTGCACCAAGAATATCAGAGTTGTGGAGGTCAACTGGTCGATTGGGCAATAGGCCGCAAGAGAGGATGATGCGTCGAAGAATCGAACGAAGCGTCGATGGACCAATGACATGCCGGACAACATAATTCATGCTTAGTAATAATTGTCTAGATCGAAGTATGTTTTTGCATGTGCAGGATTAACTACGATAGCAAGGCATAAAGCAAAATGAAGTCCTGAAGTCAAGAACGTGATTTCATTGGGAGTTCGAGAGTTCATCGGAAGTCCGGACGTTCGTCGGAAGTTTTGTCGGAATTGATTGAGAAGTCCCGAAGCTTGCCAAAGAAGCTCGTCAGAACTCGCTAAGAAGATCATCATGAAGTCCAGGAGTTTACCGGGACTCCGTTGGAACATTACCGAGAGATTGTCGGAAGTTTGCTGGAAGATCGCCGAAGCTTGCTGGAAGAAACCTAGACTTACGAACTTTGTTTAGCTTAGTAAATATCTTAAAATTTGTAATTGGCACATAATAGGGATTAGAATTGGGCCAACCCAATTAGGGGACAGTTGAGTCAAGTTTGGGCTGTATTAGGCCAAGAGAAAAGCCCAAACAATGACCAAACAGGTGAAACCTATTAGGATCGGAGCGGCACTAAGAGGGGAGGGTGAATTAGTGCAGCGAATTAAAACTCATAAGTTTAAAAACAATTTCGTAAATGCGTAAAGATTTCGATTCGACAAAAAATGACTTGGTAAAAGTAGCTCGAGTAAAGTAAGGAGATGAAAACCAAAAGCTTGGTGCTATGTAAGTAAAGGTTTCAAAAAGGTAAACACTCACATTCAAGGAACACACCAATTTAAAGTGGTTCGGTCAAATGACCTACATCCACTTGCGAAGCCTTCTTCGATGAGGCTCCCAACTTCTACTAGCAAATCACTTTAAAGGGGAAGGACAAATACCCCTCTTACAACATTTTACAAGTGGTTCACACTCATACATATTTTTCAAAGAGAAAGAGGGAGGTGAACACTTAAGCTATTGAAAACAAGACTTACTAAAGACTTTGCTAAGGCTTTTTCTCAATCTCTAACTTTTCAAAGGTTGTTTTTTTGCTGAGAATTGAGGGGTATTTATAGATCCTAAGAGGATTCAAATTTGGGCTCTAAATTTGAATTGCTTTTGGGTTTTCCGGTGCTGGCGGTGTCATCGCCTGTCAGTGGCGGTGCCACCACTTATCAGTGTCTAACACTGATAGTGTACTGGCGGTGCCATCGTCGGACCTCTCGGGTGCTGGACGGTGCCATCGCCCACCGCCCAATCTAGTAGTTTGCTGGCGATGCCACTGTCGGAACTCTCGGGTTCTGAGAATAAGAATCAGATCAATATGATGATATGTCGTCCCCTCAAAGTCACTTCTTTCGTCTCAAATATATGATGTTCGAGATGCAAGCAAAAGAAATATTTGAATCACAAACCATACGACCTTTATTTATAGAGAATAGTGAAGAGAATGTTTCAAAAACAAAGAATATTACTAGGAACCTTTTATCGGGCTTTGCATGTTGAGTACCGATTGACCTCATATGTCAACCATATTAGTAATCTATATGTTACTATATTTAAAGTGAGGTAGGCATTAGCTAAGGTCCAAAAACTTTCCAACACTCGATCTTCTTAAATTGAGTTTGAGGATCTAATCGGGATTGAATTTGGTTTAAAGAAGGCAAGATGTTTGAATCATCAAGTACAAATTTGGGATTAGATATTGTTAATACAAATTCTGGTTCAAATGGAGGTTCTTTCGGTGTCGTCGAATCGAAGGCATCCCAGTCGTCGAATCGAAGGCATCCCAACAAATGCTCCTCTCCTCTGATGAGCAAGTTAATTTTGAGTTTGGGCTATTCAGTCTAATCGAATAGCTCTGATGAGAAGAAATGACCACACCTAGAGAACCCCTTTTATAGGTGAAAATATCATTGATAATTATTGGGGTGATTGCATATTGACTGGCTCAATCCAAACTTGGGCAATCACCGTGTTAACCTACTAATCACATGTGGTTGATGTAATTTGGAGCGATTGACGAGTCGACTATAAATTGTCATATGATGACAGGTTGACAACATATTACCATATGACAATGAGGCGTCAATCATGTCATTTACCACCTACCAGATTTGAATGCTAAAATAACTAATTAGATCGATATCTTATTGATACCGATATCTATAAAATAATAAATATAAAAGCAAATCTCTCATGATCATATACGACTATTCTTGAAATGATCCTTGGTAGAGATGTCAGGCATGTAATGTAGATAGTGGAATTATGCATCCACCATACAACTCATGTACACAGATAAAAATGTCTCACTTACACAAAATGATACACCTATTCAAGCTTACATACATGTATATAGTACCAATAAGTTCTGTAATCAAATGATACACTAGTATTTCCTATAGCTAAATGTCATTTTGCTGCAAAACTCTGCTTCAAGCTGCATGCTAGGCAAATGCATGTATTATTTTTTTGACAACATCATACAAGCATTTATGTACATGTGACACGGCAATGCATGGTTGCAAGGATCACATATCTGACGAGAAAAATTGAAGCTTAGAGAACTGCACCAAGGTATTGCAGTGGGTGTCGAACAAACTGTAGCAAGGTCTCTGCAGAGAAAACATTTGCCTGGTCTTTTCATCGAAACTTCTCTTGAAGTGACTGTAGATTACCCAACCCGTTCATAACCAACCTCGTAGATCATATGTAACGATGATTATTTTTACTGAAGTGGATTAGTGATGAAAGGATGCAAATGAGGCATCATCAAATTGGCCTCTCCAGGGATTGCCACTGTTGGACCCACTACAAGCTTCCGTTCGCACTGACAAACTTGTCAGGTTACCATCCAAACTCATCTGCTGGACTTCCGCTGCCGATAGTATCTTAATGCTCTGAACACAGCTAACAAATTCCCTGTAGCCAGATAGAAGTAGCAGTTGCTTCAGTGCGCGACAAAACACTTAGAGATTGAACTAATAAAGGAATTGCTAATAGTGTGAGCTTACTCCCAAGGATCATCACCAACAAGTAAGATATCATTTTCATGATCCACATAGACCAACTTCCAATCGGTTCTGTATGTATCTTCTAGTTGCCCTTCAATCCCAAACATACGTGCAAGATCACGTCGAAGGTCGTCATAACCCTTGTAACGGGTCACATCAATACACCTTCCAACAGAACCACGCTTTTGAACCTTCAGTCAAAACATATAACTAGTATCATGAGAATATTCAACATTATAAACAATTGTGACAATACAGCTGCACTTCACACCATAGAAAAGGAAATTGCAACGTGGAAAATAGGCAGCATAGTAGGAGTTGCAACTCAAATGATGTGCCTTTTATTTCTTCATCAAATGTTACCAACTATATTTTGCTACCTTAGAAGTCCTGATTAATATATCATAGCCCAAGCAAACCAAGTTAGAAGGCAGTTTAATTATCTAGACTGATCCAGTCTTTTAAGCAATCATTTGTGGTAAAATAAATCAGTTTTCAGATGATTTCTAGGAATATCTAGAAAAAAAAGTAATTTCTTCATATACTAAGATTTATGCATTAATATATACATACATATACATATTTACATATATATATATATATATATACATATACATATATATATATACAAGGTCTATCATACCGAAGCATACCGCCCATACCGGGCAGTACGTATCGGTCCAACAGGTTACCGGTATACGGACCACCCGGTACCGCTACAGTGCTACAATATTATACTGTAGCACTGCTACAGTATGAAACAAGGTATAAAATTGTTCGGTACACCAGGATGTACCGCTCGGTATGCCCTGATGTACCGCCCGGTATACCGATACCATTCCGTACCGAGCCTGGGTCGAAACCCCGGTATGATATGGTACGACGAACTTTGTATATATATATATAACCCATGTAGTTGATTGATTAAGTATTGAGAAGAGCCAGCAAACCTTAGTGTATGTTCGCATTCGTGGTGGTGGTGGTGGTTGGTTAGCCCACACTCCCCTATTAAGGACACCCTCGGTGACCACAACATCAGTTGAACACCCAGGTTTGAAGGACATGTCTGGCACACCAAATGATTGGGAACTTATATCTGCAGTGGATAACTCCGTATCAATGTCTTTCTGCTGGCCATATCCAGAAACCAGGTTCTGTATATCTTTTCTTGTGCCCAAGCCTCTTGAGAGCAGGGTATCTGGCATTGTTCCAAGAAGAAAATTGTCCCTGTGATCTTGACCATTACCATCCAGACAATGAGAGGGCAATGATACACCATCATGCCCACTACCTTCTAAACAAAAAGAAGTTGTAGAAGAAGCATCTAACTGATCAGTTACAGCCAGCTGATTGGGCATCTGCATGGATTCTTTTATGTTGAACTGCTCATGCTTGGCCATCAGTTGTGTCTTTCCTTGAAGTTCCGGAAGCATATTATCCAAAACTGGTGCAACTGTTTCTTCAACCAAAACCTTTTGTCCTTGCTGGACCTTACTGTGTAAGCTCAATGAATCAATGTTACTGTTAGTTGAAGGAAAGTTTGATGAACATGGAACATTGGTCCCACTGAGTGAAGACTGAGTTCTGAGAAGCAGAGGAGACTTTTGGCTATCCAGGGCACTGCTTTTGTGTGCTTGATGCAGTTGATCTGATTGAAGCGGTAAAAGATTGGAGCCATCGAGCTGCTGTTGGAAATCTTGGAAGTGTTGATTTTGCTGGGTCAGTTGCTGCGATAATTGAGATTGCAATGGTGGACTGAGCTGAGAGAGTAGCTGTTGCTGCTGAAGCTTTTGCAACATCTGCATCTGAATCTGTGGCTGCATCATATGCTGCAATTGGTCTTGCTGCTTCTGCAAGAGAGAACGTTGGCATTCTAATGGTTGTTGAACTGGCAATATCTGAGGCAACGGAGACTGACTGAGAGAGCCCATACTTGAGAGACAAGAGCCCTGCAATCCTTGCGGTTGTAGATGAGATGGCTGCAAATATTGACTTGATGAATGAGTTTGAAGTCCAATCTGTCCATTGCATGTCTGTTGTTGCATAAGCTGCTGGTCTGTGGCTTCTTGATTAGCAACAGGTCTAAGTTGCTGAGGTTGAGACTGTTGTAGCTGCCCTGGTTGTTGAAATTGTTGCTGCTGCAGATTGATAGATTTTTGTTGCAGTGGTGATGATTGCAGCTGATGTTGCATAGAAACGGAAGATTGTGTCAGCAAGTGTGGTTGCTGCTGCAGTTGATGAGGCAGTTGCAAAGTTTGATTCAGTTGTGCTTGAGGACTTGACTTGGAATTAAAACTTGGCCCAGATGCAGCAGGTGTTTGAAAACTTAGCATTTTAGTTGGATCTTCTGTGACTACACCATCCTGTGTAGCTGATGCAACCATTGGAGAAAAGCACGCTGGTTGGGTAGCTGATGCCATTAGATGACGATTTTGTTGCACAGCCATCCACTGAACCAGGCTTAATCCTGGAAAGATTGCACTCTGACTGTCTTTTAAGCTAAAGTCATCATTCAGCCATGGCATCACCCTATGCAAACCATTTCCAACTTCATACTCATCTGCAAAGTAAACAACTTTTAGCATATAAGCCAAGGAACAAAAGGATGATATTTGATGTGTCTTATAGAATAGCACGACATAATCCTAAGCTTTTCCATGTTACACCAGCGCTTAGCCCTAATGCATCTAACTAGAATGGTTTTGTTGTCATGTTTTGTCAGAAGTAACATCTAAACCTAAGTGACCTGGTCAAGCAGACATGCATGTTCAAAATTGTAAAGTTCTCACTAAAACTGGAACTCAAAAAATCCTATGCTAGTCCTTTGTTCTTCTTCTTTACTCTTCCAATAAATTGATGTGTTATCTATTGATCTTTCTAAAAAGTTAAAATTTACAAAATGTTCTATGTAAAATGTGTCATTCAGAAAACTTTTTCTTTTGCAGAAAATGTGGTTCAATAAATAAAAGAGTGAGAAGAGCTCCTGGCCTCGATAAGATACATGAGGTATAGGGCTTATGATAACATGGCCTTGATTAATAACCTGGATTATACTGGTCATTAATCTTCATTTTACAATGACAATTGTTCTTTCTAGGAGATTAAAGGACTTCTATAGCCAATTGAAGAATTCTTTTTCAATGATGCAAATATAGCTACTTTTTCTTCACCAGGTAAGGAAATATATTTCAATCTTAATTGCACTAAACATGAGCAAAATTGGGGAAGTTTCAAGCATAGTTTGGCTAAATTGAGGGGGAAGGGAGAGGTGAATTATGACAATTATGGGCCCTGCCTACCAGCTAAAGAACCAAACAAAATGTTAGCTGCATGACCAAGGTTCAAAATTGAACATTTAAGTTTCTTCAAAAGTATCAATCTAAGACATTTAACTGTGGCAACCACCCAACATTCTCCCTTAGAAATAATTTCAAAAAACAAATGGGCATCAAGATATTCTTCAATCCTTAGATTCAGCACTAATTAGCATTACTGAACAAAAAAAATGTTCTAAGATATACTCTTGCTAAACAATATATGAAAATAATATAGTATTTTTACTATTCAATTCAGCATCGTTTGATCAATATCTCAAGATATCAGCAGAGACATAAATCACAGTGAATTAGTGGGTTATGTCATAATCATGACAATATTATAATACAACAAACCAACAGAAGAGTCAGATTAGTCAAGCATACTGTCAAGTGCCTAAAATGCCTAAACGACATCATGGTCATGACTTCATATATGATATTGGACAAGATGGTAGCTAAAATTCATGATTACATTTCTATGTAACTTGCCTACCTGGGACTCCTGGCGATGTTGCAAAATTGGGCCTCAAGTATGGGGGTGGACACATATAGAAAGGAGTCACCACAGGTTCAATTTCCCATATCGACACTCGGGTCCGTCTCTCAGTCGCTGTTGATTCATCCCATCCAACCTGTCAATTAAAAGCTTACTGAGATATCATTTATAACATTTCTAGAGAAAAGATATATATATATATATTCTCCAGAAGGACTTGTATGAACACATGGATATTGTCGATAAAGTTTCTTTTCTTTTAAGTGTGTCCCGTCGCAGATCAAAAGAATTGATCATGAGATATGTATTGACCTGGAGATTGCGCCACTGTGAGTTTTTCCATCGCACAGGATCTAAATCACTGATGCCTGTAATAGTGCCCATATATCTACGGACTCCAGAGTCCTCAGTCTCAAACATCATCCTGAATCGCATGCCAAGAGACACCTGGGTATATATTGCCTTGTTGTACTTAGCCAATGGTATAACAAATTCTGAGCGGCTCGCCCTATTTTACAATGGGAATTCCATTAATATGCCAAACTGCAAGAAGATGATAAAATGTGTTTCATAGACACCAGGAAACCTGAAATACCTTGGGTTGTAAAAAATAGTAAATGGGCTATTATTGGTAGCAGCATGAGCAGCAGCAGCTAGGATTCCAATGTGCATGCTGTCACTAGATAAGACAGAAGATGATAGAGCATGCTGTTGTCTATTTGCACGCCTTATACCCAATAAAAGCTGTGACTTCTCATCTCTGAAAAACAAGACAATTTTTCCCATCTTGTTCATGATTCAATATATACATTGAACATAAACATTTCCTATCAAATTTATCTTTCTACCGTATAAAGAGAACGGAGTCACCAGCAGAAAGTCTTTTTGTGCTAACAAACACACTCCATCCTGTTGTCAGTAAATGCCTTTTCGGTTGACCTGCAATTTTGTCAGTGCTGGAAATCAAACCAAGCAGACAACTAAAAAGGACTAAACAACTATCAGAGTTAAAAACATCACCATAAAGCTTTCATATGCACTGAGATGCACCTGCCTGGGCAGACAACTTATTGAATATAGACACTCTTTAAAAGCAATCTCAGTGAGTGCCCAACCTATACTCTTGCAAGAACCGACTTCTTCTTCTTCTTTTTTTTTTTTTTGACTCAAAATGATGGGATTAACATAACACATCATGCTGCGTTCTACCAGTGATGCGAGAAATATCAAATTCTATCAAATACACTACAATAAGCATATATCTGCAATTATAATCTAGCAAAGATTAGCAACACACAATGCTACAGCCTACAAACTTCTTTTGATGTCTAAAACTTGCAAGTGTCCAATTTTTCAGCAATTAACAAACTTAAGGCAGTTAAGATGACATAGACATCTGTTATTAAACTTGTAACAAATAACAAACCTTGGTACATGTTTAATAACAGATAGATCTGTATGTGAGAAAGAAAGATGGGGACAGCAAGGAGGGAGGGAAACGATCAGGGGAGCAAACAAAAATGACCAAATAAACATGCAGTTGGTTTAATGAACTTCACATTTGCATCTCATAATTGCAAAGAAATTGACTGGTGATACACAACAAAGGAGCTCAAGCAACAGACATCTCATGACAACAAAAACAAGAAGTGATGAAACTTTGCAGAGAATGGTGGTTGTAAACCATTGGAATTTAGCCTCATAAGCATGGAATTATTAAGCTCAATATTAAATGAAACTCCAGGTATGATATGGAACACAAGAATCATTTGAAAAGAATTTAAAAAAAAAAATCCTGAAAGGTTAAACATGCTATTGCTCACCAACTAAAATGTGTTGTCAAATTTTAAGCTTCACATTCACAAAGAACATGCTCAACTAAAAATCTGAGTATCCCTGGGGGAAGGGGAGATGTTTGACCATGTGTTATAATTTGGTAAATGGTTTATGGAAGCATACATAAATGTTGGTAATCGACGATGTCACACAACCTCTGATCTTTGGTTTATAGTAACACAGAATTGCAGTGGAGGCAGGCACCAAGATGAAGATCACCAACCACTATATAGACCAATAACTTAAGAAATCCCAACAAAGCAGGTCTTCGACTCTGGAGCAAATGCAGATCTTTGAATGATGGGGGAGAGTGAACAAAACTTACGTCATAGCATTACCTCATACCCGGTCTATCATGTGAATAAAAATCTTAAGAGAAGCCCTATACCTTTACTAGGAAATTCTGGATAAGATGAGACTCTCCCTCTTGGGGTGATCCAAAGCAACAATAAATCACTTGTAATGATAAAGATTGATAATCATGGACACTGACAAGCCAATATGTGGAGTCAGAATAACCGTAGGCAGAATCTGTTAGTGGGTATTTTAGGGTAGATAAGTTCAATAATGACTACATAACTTAGATAATCATCTTCCGTATCTAATATATATTTCACTGTACTTACATAGTGAACACTGATTGCAAAAATGAACCAACAAAAAGACAAGGTGGAGGTTCATACCACGATATATGTGTCGAAATGTCCATGAGACGTCATGCAAATCCTTGGCCACCAATTCTTGAGCTGGCGGTTGCATTGTGAAATCCTACCCAAATGTTATCCTTGTAAGACAAGCAAAGTCTACATCTGAATTTTAAACACTAAGAAGGAAGCTTGACAACCACAGATAAAGTCAACATACTAGAGCTGGAAATATCTTTTCAGCAGCACGGCGGGGTACTGAAAATCCACCATGGGTACTTGTATCACTCGCTGTAAGTGTTTTGCAAAAGAACTCAGCTGGTTGCTTGTTCTGTTTGAGGCCTATTTCAGATGCCAGCATTGCTTCTCTATCATACTATTTCAAAGTTGTGTCATTTTATACGTATCAACATGCAAAACAAGATAAAACCATAATAGCAAAGATAAAAAAAGGCTGATACTGCAAGCTACTATCATCAAGAAATTGTGCTGCCTCCAAACCTACTTTGTTGACAGGTTGAAGAGTCATTTGAGCATAAACCTCATCTGTTTCAGCATCAGCCTGAAAAAAGATGCACTAGCATAAAACTTTGACAAAATATAAAGCACAATAAGGAAGGCAAGAGAATCTCTCTGCAAAACATACATGCATGGTGACATCAAGAAGCACACAAATCAGCTTGGATGGCAGCGAGGGATAATTTGGAATGCCATCAATCTCCTTCTGCATCGTGGCTGCGACCTGATATTGCCATGATACCATGATGTCATTCACAGACACAATTAGATAGATTCAGATCCAGACCACGAGAGGACGGACCTGTTCACTGTGGCCCTGAGGGAAGTAGACCACTAGGCTGCCGACTGGTGGCAAAGATACCAGTGGTCCAGCACAAGCATGCCATAGCTCAGAATCAATTCTTTTCTTTTCTCCTGCTTCACACACGGTAGCGCAAACAATCATCAGATACCGAAAGGTAAAAGACGTGAGCACAACAAGTCGCAACTTCTACACTGGTGAGTGGATACTCTAATAAGCATAGATGCGCATATATTCTGCAATAATATATTTAAAAAGGCGGTTCTGCAGCCTTCCGGCCTCGCTTGAGCTTCTTAAATGCCTGGATCTCAACCGCTCTGGGTGACCAATGAGTGCTTCACAATGCTATCATCAAATCCAACAACCAATTTGAGCCAGAGAGTGAAGAAAATGAACAGCGAGGCATCAAAAGATCGACATGAGACGACGCAGATAACGAAGAAGAAGACGAAGAAGAGGAAGACAGAAAACTTAGCAGCACCAGATTTTGAGAGAAACGAAAACAAGTGGCAGCGAAAATAGTAAATGGAATTCAAACTGAGACGACAGCTCCAAATCACCGAACAGAGACATCTAAAGCCTGCGGTGCTACAAGCCAAAACTGGTAGAGGCAGAATCATTAGCAAACGACAAGTGCACCTTCCACTGGAGTCCCCGCGAATCCGCAGGCCGTGGGAACCTTCATCTGGGGCGGTCTGTTCCAAGAGCCACTCTTCCGATCTGAGATGCTCGAGCAGGAAAGCTCCTTTCTCGCTCCGTCCCCAGCCGCTCTCTCCCTTTATGGGCAAGAAAGCTTCCACCTTTCCGCCACCCTCCCTTTATAGCTTAAAGGCGACCTCCGCTCCATAGAAAACTCCCCGCAGTGCGATTGCGCCGCATAAGATCCATCAAAAAAGCAACCTTTTTCTCGTCGCCGTACCGAGAAGCTCCACCTGCACGAGCACCCCGAAACTACACAGTCCTCCCCTCCCCTCTTCCTTTGGTACCAAACCCCACCTGCCGGTCCCGGTCCAGCTAGCTCAGGCAGCGAGTAGGCTTCGGATGACAGGGGAGGGAAGAGGGGTCGCGTCTGCTGCTGCTGCTGCTTGGGTCGCGGCGACGAGGGAAGGGGAGACCGGAGAGGCGCCGGTAAACGAGGAAGCGGTGGGTTTCGCTGGGGTTCCGTGCGCTGCTGGTTCGGGTTGGGGGCGACACGAAAGGGATGGGGAGAGAGAAAGAGAGAGAGAGCGAGAGAAGGTACGATGGAAGCATCGCCGTCTTCTCCATCTTTTTAATGGAATAAAAATAATAATTAATAATTAACATTAAACACTAATTTTTTTAAAAAAAATATTTATAAATTATTTTATACTTCCTATATTTATTTTAAAATAGATATGTGAGTATATAAATGTGAATTTTTTGTTTATTTTATTTGGCTTCCCGTAAAACGGTGCGTGGAAACCGGAGGAGCAAATTGACTTTGATGTCCCTACAAGAATACTGCTTTTACAAGTATGCCACCACTGCCCGACCAAATTTTGATGTAACCCTTCAAATATTAAAAATATGTCATATACATTTAATATATTAATATTACGTTTTAAAAAAATCATTACTAACTAACTCTTGTTAAAAAAGAAATACTCGTCTCAGTTAGTTTAAGTGTAAGTATTTAATTTAGAAGGACATCGGGTTTCCCATTATACATTATGGTGGGCGGGGAAACGGGGGAAACGAAGGCCGGGCGAAGCGGGCGTCGGGTGGTCCGACCGACGTGGGAGTGGCGTGGGAGGAGGGCGCAGCTTTTGTCGGACGCCGACGCGGAGGCGTACTCCTCCACCCCCGGCTTTTAATGGGAGCCCGGGCCCACCTCCCACTACCCCTGCGAGACCGAGGGGGGGTAGTTTCGTCCCTACGGCCGTAGGTTTAAGAGCTCGGTTCCCCGTGCGGCCACGCGCGGGGGAGGGGTGGGGCGTTGCGGCGCGCGGCCGTCGCCCTCGGAACCCGCGCGCACTTCTCATCTCTCTTCCTCCTCCGTCCGTCCTCACCTGGGAACGGATGCGACGTCGGTAGAGGTCAACACGAAGGGCGCGGATGGAGTGATAAGGCAGGGAAACAGCGACGCAGAGGACGGCTTGTACCGATTGGATGCACCGATTAGTTGTTTAATCCATGCTCTTCCTCCTAATAGTGCCTATGAAGAAGACGTAGGTGGGCAGGCAACGTTGTGTGGGAGATTGAGATTGATCCCTTTGATTGTTTATGCATATGCTTTGCACGGAGATGCTCGAAGAGTAATCAATTAAGAACATCAGAGATTAGGGATGGGGGAGGTTCATTAGTGTTCCCCGTAGATCAATATGCTATCACTTGTTGCCTACTCCAACTATGCATGTGTAGGGTTGTATTGAGTGACTTCTACAACTTTGTCTTACGTTACAACTACAAGATGCATCATCTCTTTAATTAATTTCGTCAGTACATTATATTCATTCATTAAGGATTAAAGATTTAAAATTAATTTTAAAGATGTCAGTTAATTTAAATAAGAAGAATTAAGTATGGAGATAAAATTCTATCAAAAGAAAGACGAATGGGAATGATGAGGCTCGAAGAAATGCAAAAATCACAATCCACCACCAATGATTCCTACAGCTTCCATGTTATTATTATTATTATTATTGGTGAGAAAAGGACTGGTGGGATCGGGGATCCAAGCCGCAACGTTCGTGATAAGATCTAAGCCGCGGTGTTCATCATGGCATCATCATCGCCTTGTCGGCAATTATTGTAGCGTAATCTTCATGCGACTGTGGGAATGGGATGTCACGAGGGGCGGGCACAGATCATTGGGGCCCGGGTGTGGGGGCCGAGGGTCCCACCTTGCCAGGCCCACGTCCCTCTTGCGGGACCCGCTCCCACATGTGGTACAGAAAGGACGGGGGAACCAGAACGGGCCCCACCAAGCCGCGCAGATAGATAGAGAGATAGATATGCTTCGAAGCACAAAAAAACAATCTCTTTGTATTTCTTCTTTTTCCCGGATTGATTTCGATCCGATTCGAGCGTTCTAACAGAGTTGAAAACGAAGAAGGGCAGCTATTTGAATAATTATAATTAATGTATCCGCAACCATGTCTACTGTTTGCCACTGATTGCATCCGTCTCTCGTCACTGAATCGTGTTTTCCACTTAACGATCGATAGGGACTTGGGAACTGCTCCGAGAGGTCTTACAAAATGAATTATGTATATCGATAATACTAATTCACTAATATTAACATCTTAAATATGGAGTTATTCAGCTCTATCTAAGTTTCTCCGTGAACTAATTAATTAATTAATTAATCGATGTACCGTTCGATTTACTTCGATCTATGGATCATCGATGACCCATACCGAAATCTACCAAGCTATTAGAAGACATGGAAATAAAAAAAAAAAACTAGTCAAAGGAATAAATTTACTCTGGCATTTTAGAATGATGTGAAGGAGGAGCAAATGGGGCCTGAAACTTTTGCTTTTGCCCTTCTCTTTCCGGGAAGGAGGTGGCCCGTTTAACCATCTAAAGTTAACTGCATCATGTGTCAAAAACATTTACATGACAAAAATTGAATCACCTTAACGTGTGTCGCAAGCATTGGGATATCCGCAACAGAAAGTTCTCTTAATAACGAGCAATTAATCATTGGGCTGTCCTACGAGTCGTGTCCGGTTGCAAAAGAAACTCTGTGTCACTTGCTGTCTGCTCAATCTGCCACTATATTCTCTATGCTTATTTGCAGCAAAACTCTATTTAAGTTTGGCATTGGCATTGGCGTTGGCATCATGGCTTTCGCTCGGTTGGTCACTTCAATGCAGCTTTTGCCAGCTAAGTCTGGATTCTTGTTCCACGTCAGCTTCACATCCATTTCTCGGTCTCCGACTTACTGCCACCCGTCCATCCGTGTCGTATCGGAATCGGTGTGAATTTGACCTGTACACATTGCTAAAGTTGTTACGAGGAATTTGACCTGGGTGACGTGTTGGTGTCGATGGCCAACACGGTAGAGCTCTAGCTTCACACGAACGATCTATGTGATCGACACAATGGAGCCATATATCCGATGACTCGTTACCACCTTAACATCGCACGGGTACCCCAAGTGAAGCTAGTTGTGCCCGATAGATGACACGTGGAGGAAAAAATTATGCACTCTTGAGTTTGACTTAGGCAAATGATAGTCACAAATGAATCCTACTTACTTTCTTATTATTACACAAATTATATAATAAATGAATGTAACGGCTCCTAACGCCCACCATTAAAAAAATTCGAACAATAAAAAAGATTGGAACAATCAACTTGAGATCTCAACTCATTGAACATATCTTGAGATCAACTCAAAAAGAGAACCAGAGTGACTCCAAAATCAACTTCCGATTGGAACAATAAACCACCTTAACATAACAAAAATACAAGTTCGAGTTGATTTAAATGCTTAACCTCCGGGTACTAGAAAGATAACAAGTTACATCATTGTAGATCTTTAAACTGACAATCTCTCCTCTTAGATAAAGAGTTACTGATAACAAGATAAAATCAAAATTATTGCGCCAGTTACTCACATAGTTTGAATGATTATGGTGATAAACGTGAATAACACTTTACATGGCATAAAGCTACAAAATTGAGGTCAGGATCCAGTCTTTCAATTGAACGTGTAACAGTTTAGTGTGGTTTTGGTACAAATCCATCAACGGCAAAGTTTCGGGTGGCTGCTGGTAGTGCCAATCGAATTCCATCAAGTTCAGGCTTTGCAACTATTTGGCAACCAAGGCGAGACCTGCATATGATGCTCAGCAAATTAGTCATGATCCAACAGTAAAGGCTCTTAAATATTTAAAGACATGTACACACGTCTCAGTTAGGCCAAAAGCAAGGTCCAGCATATCATTTTCTTCATCCGTCGGATCTTCTAATTTGTTGTAGTAGTTGACATCCTGCCAACAAGTCATAGTCAGGAAGTGCCACAAGGACTTGAGAGCTTCTAATTGAAATGTATTAGACAGAGGACCTCATGGCATACCATCACAATCACATGACATGTGGAACACGCAAGAGAACCCTCACATGCCCCTAGCATCATAGCATAAATCAACAGCCAAAGTTAGCTCTGCATGAACTCCATATAATACAACACTAAATAGAAAGACAGCTTAACCAAACATGAAAGCGTTTGCATCTGACATCAACAGGTGAAGCAGAAGAGCTTCTCAGTATCCATTAAAAGAGGGATATAAAGAATTTATGGATGGGCCTCATGCAAGATGGTGACAAGATTGACCTTGCATGTCAGCCACATGAACCACATTTTAAGACGGTGCTCAATGAGGAAACTATGTGGAGATAATACTATCGTCTGAGAATGCTAACCTTCAAGTTCGATGTCATTCTCGTGAGCGGCTTCAAGCATTGACATTCCAACAGGAACCTTGATAACCTTTTCCTCACCATCCTTATCAAGGAAAGTCACAGATATCCTGGGCAGTTATCAAAAGCATAATGAAGAAAGCACCACTTCAATGGCATTGTAACCAATCACACAAATATTATAAAAGCATAAAGGAAAAATATCACAGTTCTTTCTTCTACTTTCGGAATGAAGATTAAGGGGTAAAAACAGGATACAGCAAGAGCTATCCAAGATAATGAGATAAAAAAATCAACAACTATTTCTCAATATTCGGGAGCTCAAATGGATTGTATTGCTAAAGAATGTTTATGACCATCCATCAATAGTGCAGAATGCTCAAAAAGAGCGATTCATCATAATATGACTAACAAACAAAAAAGCATAAGACGATGGTAACCTAATTCATGGATACAAGAAAAATTTCCACCTAAAAATAGTAAAGTGAGAGGTGTTTGGTTAAGTAAAGAATGTGAATGTACACTTGGACAGATAATAATCATATTAACTCAAAGTTTCCGTCAATGCAAAACAAAATGTTGCCATTTTAGAAACTTTATGGAAAAAAAAAGAAAACAACTACTTATTTGAAAAATCAGTTCTTCGCTTCAATATTATGCAGTCAGATAACAGATATCAAATCTGTGACAAGTCTTAAGATAGGATGCATGACATATGAGCCTAAAAGACATCGGTAGTGTCAATAACAGTTTGACCTAAAAATTCAGTATCAACAATATTTAAAAAAAACCTACCGGGAAATGAAAATGATTATAAAAACATAATAAAACAACTGATCCTCCAAAAGCAATCATAACAACCCTCAACGGTAAAGTGCATTTGAGCAGTTTGAAGTGCACAAAACATATTCATTACTAGTGACCAAACCATGCGCATTTCACAAGAATCAAAAGATTCAGAATGCAACTAAAGCATTAAGAGCATACGTTTCTTTATCTTTTCCATCCCCCTCAGTAGTTTGACCATTGGCTGCGTTAGAAAAGCAAAATTTTCCCTGAAAATCAACATCATAAAGGTCATCAATTTTCAACTATTATCTTAAATAAGGAGCTTGAAGAACAGTCAGTCAGCTTTCTAAATATAGAAACTCAATCCAAATATGGTTTGATACACATGAAAGGGCCCTTGGATTAAAAACTATGGATAACCAGATGTATAATAGAGTTGTATGCAATATTGTGCGACTGATGTATGGATTGTTTGAGACACAGCTATGGTTGATCAATTAGATAAGAAACTTTGGTCTGAACAAAGTGTATTTTGTGATTAATGAAATTGTCTATGGAATGTGCCTCGAGTATTCTTCATGTAAGATTGATCAAAGATCTAGAATACCTAGTTTTGTTTTTTCTCTCAAATTCTTTGAGACCGTAAAAGAAAACAGAAGATGTTTACAAGCAAAAAAAAAAAAAAAGAGAGATTCATGCAGATAATTAATGTATCAGTATGGGTGCAATTGAGACTCAAGCTTTTGCACTTTGTTGTAGAAAAGATAAAAAAAGATTGTGCAGATTAAGTAACATGGACCCACAATGACTAGATAACAAAATCAACATAAAAAATTGAATAAGAAAATATTTCATTTGCTTGCAACAATATCAGGCAGACTACTATGACACAAAGGTTGACAAGAGTCATGGACAAGAATATACAGTGCAAAAAGGTAGCTTCTAAAGAATAGCCATATCCGCGAAGCATTCAAGATATTGCAAATGTTATTTACGAATAACAAACACCAGTATGCAGCAAAAGTCTGGCATCTCAAAAAAAAAAAAATCCTAATAGTACATACAACATACCAATCTTTGCTTCAAAATATTACACACCAATCTGTATATTTTTAAAATGAAATACTCTAAAAAGAGCAAGATTAGAATCACAGATGTTCAACAGTTTGGTGGATCCACACCAAGGTCTGTCGTACCGAAGCGTACCGCTCATACCGGGCAGTACGTACCAGTCCGACAGGTTACCGGTACGTGGACCGCCCGATACCACTACAGTGCTACAATACTATATTGTAGTACTGCTACAGTATGAAAAAAAATAAAAAATTATTCAGTACACCAGGGTGTACCGTTCTGTTACGGACTTAGCTGGTTTTGCCGAAGTCGTGCGGCACCCTTGCGTATCCGTCCGCAAAGGTCAGCCTCCCCGAAGCCTCCCATTGTCCCTTAGGACCAACAAAAGAGAGAACGGGTTAGAGAGAACGCCTCAATCGGGATCCACAAGCAAACATCTCTGAAAAACACTTCATAGACAATGCAAATTACAAACAGACTTTACAAGCTCTGAACAGTTGCACAACAAAGGGTAAAATGGTCCATTACAGACCGAAAATCTCTCACACGTGTCCACATGACACAACTTTTATTTACAAGCCTAAAGAGGCCACCAACCTAACTAAAAATGGGACTATTAAGCCTTCGGCCGTCCCTCTACATGTTGTACAAGGTATGAACATACCAAAAGACATGGACATACATAAGCATTACATCAAACATCCTGTTTAGAAGTTTGTCCGTGACATTCTCCCCCACTTATTCCTTCGACGTCCTCGTCGAAGCCTTTGTGAACACTGCAACTCCTCGCCTTTGCTGAGTCTTCAATCTTCCGCTCCAACTGCAATGCGCCTCTTGGCTCCCAGCTGCTCTCCGTTGCTGTTTTTGAGTAGTCGAACCTTTGATCCGCCATGCTGCTTCAACTCACCAATGACTCTGACTCTGGTGTGGGGTTGGCTGAGTTGTGTTGATCCTTGTTAATTCCTGTGGATCCCCCAGATGAAGGAAAAGACCATCCTTACTGCGCCAGTCTCTCAAATTCCTCATGCTGCTTGAACTGGGTGGATGCTTGTTGGAGCTTTAACGAGCATCGTCTCGCAAACTTCTGAAGTTTTGGGTCATTCCTTCACAAAATTTGCTCATTGACTCTTCTTTCACTTAGTTGTCACATCCAAGTAGGTTCGCATCGCTTCCGCTTTCGATTGCCATTTCGTTGGGAAATAAAGCGGACAATCTACTCTCAGTAGCACTGATCACCGTTGGTGAGGATTTGACAACTATTGTCTTTCATTATCTTCGAAGGGTCTTTGAACTTGTGTAAAGCTCCTCTGCTGGATAGATAAGAGAATTGGGGTACTTGGTTTCACCCATTCTCTTAAGGGTTGAGAAGACAAAGATTACTTGACTTCGCCCGCCTCCTCGAGGTTGTACTTCATGCATCGAGCTGGTTACTGGCCTTCACCTGCTCTTTGCTCACACTTCTGAAGCACTTGAAGTGTTTGCACTCCTTGCGTTGAGTTAGCTACTGTGATTCACCTTCTCAATGCCATCGAACTTCTGGAATGCGGGAAGTTTTCACCCCAACTTGGAGTAATTCTCTAATAGATGAGGTCGCCTCTGGGATTGTACCGTCTTCTCCATCAACCTTGCCACCTACTCCCCTGAGTAGCGAAGGTACAGTACCACATACTGCCTGCTTCGTTCCTTGGTCGTGCACTCTTGCATGACCCGAAGTCCTTCACTTTCGACTATCTTTATGAGAAACTCGTTGACACCGGTCTTACGAAGTTCCTTGGCCTCTGCCCTTCAGCCTTGTCACGGTACTTGGAGATTGCCTCTGCATGTTCCACCTCCTCGGCCCCTTTCACGACCAAGCGCTCTCCCTCCATGAGAGCAAGGGATCAATGACTTTCACGGAAGTCCCGCCTTTGCGGTACCATGGCGCTACCATGCCCATGGCCCTACTATCCGTCGCCTCGCATCTGCATCCCTTTTCTTTACGATCAGTAGATATGTCTCCGTGGCACTCCTCTGAGTCCACCTCCATTCTAACTGATGCTTGATTTTGGGTAGCTAAGTCCCTCTGGACTCGTCGTCACTTCCTCGCCCCTTTCGACCCCCTTCTTCAACACCTCTGTGTTCTCCAAGCAGCTCCCTCTGGTCGATGGAAAGACAGACTGCAACTCCCATGCATGGCCTCTGCCATCACGTTTTAGGGTTTGCACCGATTCTATTCTCCTTAACTTCCTTGGTAGCAACGTTCGCTTACTCAACCTTGTCCTCTGACTTGTCGGGCTCCCTTAAGCGAATATGAGCTCTGAAGCAGTCCAACTCTCCAACTGCTTCGATAATACCTCTGTATGATCAAGTCCCTCCCATGGGACTCACTGGTACTTGCATTCAAACTTTTTCCCTTGGTGGAACATAGCCCCCCATATGCTGATGACCAAGGTTTTCATCCGATGCAAAATTCGATACACGCACGAAAGACCCGCCTCTGCGGTACCATAGCCTTCACTCCTTGAATCCATAGCCCTTCTTGCCATCATGTTGTTCACCGAAGTGGAGCTTCCAGTAGCTCCCGATCATGCCTCCATATGATCTAGTCCCTCACGGGACTATGTCGTGTGTATCGCATTTACCACGAACTGTTCCACCACGATCCGCTGCACCATGTCGTCTCCTAGTGACATCTCTATTGCATTCTGATCCTTGTGGGATGAACTCGAATTGTGAACCCTCCATGTGTGGCCTCTGCCAATACATCGTAGGGTCTCTTCCACCTTCGATTTTGTTTGCTCCTTTGGCAATCGACCTTCATCCACCCACTCTTGGGTCACACCTAGATGAAGCACCGCTCTAGGACAGTCCGTCGCCTAGTAGCTCCCGAAGTCCACCGACTTCACTGTAATTTGTGCACCATTGTCTGGATCCTGGGCCTCTGCCCCTACCAGCGCAATCTCCGCTGCGCATCGCTTCCTTCATGGCAACTTGAATGGCAACACTGTGGCATATTCTTCAAAAGTACCCACCTCTGAGTCCTCTTGCCCCGTGCTAAGGCCTTCTGAACCCAATTTTGCCTCCGCAAATTGAGTCGCTTTAGTTCCTCTATCAAATGCTTCTCCGAGATAAGGTGCATGTGCCCAGAAGCTCCTTTCGTCTTTGCCACCATGCAAGATGAGTCCACCCCGTCAGAATGAAGGACCCATGGGACAACATGATTCTACTCTTGCCTCTGCAAGAGTTCATGTCCTTGACCTCCGTCTAAGGAAAGCACTGTGCCTCCGCTCCATGTTCCAACTTCTATGCTGGCTCCCTTCATGCGGCTTGGGTACTTCGCCAAGTTACACCCAAGTTGATCCGCTCCTCGTTTTTGAATTGAGTCGATGGTGGCCCTCGTGCCCACCATTCCACGGGTCAGCCCTCCCTTGAGTCCGATCTCCATATCGACTCCAAATGTGCCTTCATTTGTGTTGCTTTGGGTCGCTCCCCCACTTAATCTCGCAATGCATCCACCAATGCATTCTCTCGAGGGCCTCCTGGATAACTGTCCTGTTGGAGCAACATCTCTCTTCGTTTCGGAGACCACCATCCCCTTGGACTACTCCGATCTGCCGAACAAACTGTGCATTTTTCTGCCTCCTGCAAACGCACTTGCTAGATTGCGACTCCACGTCAATACAGCTCCCGCTGCACCACTCAAGGCCTAGCAACATGCTGAACTCGTTGCACACTTCAGCCTCCTACGAACGTATCCTTCACATGCCGAAGAGAAAGTTTCAATGCTCCATGGCGCCGAGTTTCGGTCGCCTTGGAATGGCCGCGAACATTCCATCGTCCGCATACAAGCCCATGTATGAGTACCGAATTCTTTGAGTTAGCAATTCCCCTTACCTCTATGAGCTTTGCACAACTCTTTCGATCGCTGAGCAACTCATTCCACCTTGGATGGTCTCATCCTTTACCAAGCGCCTCGCTTGCCTTGAGCACCATCAAGTATAGTTGTCAACGTTGAGCCGTAGCTCAAACTCAACCATCCCAACCTTTGTGCGCTTCGCATTCTTCCAAGCTTGCCTGTTCTCGTGGTGCCTCTTGCGCGAAGGGTTGGCCATTCCTCTGAATGCCAATCTCAGATGTCCGCTCCTCCGAGCGACTCCTTTTCCCTACATCTCCATGCTCGTTTTCCCCCAAACGGTCGCGCGTGTGCTGACTGCCCTTAACGCAGCCCCGCTAAGTCCCCCACGTTTGCATGCTAAGTGTTTCTATGAGTGCTTGTCCCGCTCTGATACCATCTGTCACGGACTTAGCTGGTTTTGCCTAAGTCGTGTGGCACCCTTGCGTGTCCGTCCACAAAGGTTAACCTCCCCGAAGCCTCTCATTGTCCCTTAGGACCAACAAAAGAGAGAACGGGTTAGAGAGAACGCCTCAATCGGGATCCACAAGCAAACATATCTGAAAAACACTTCATAGACAATGCAAATTACAAACAGACTTTACAAGGTCTGAACAGTTGCACAACAAAGGGTAAAATGGTCCATTACATACCGAAAATCTCTCACACGTGTCCACATGACACAACTTTTATTTACAAGCCTAAAGAGGCCACCAACCTAACTAAAAATGGGACTATTAAGCCTTCGACCGTCCCTCTACATGCTGTACAAGGCATGAACATACCAAAAGACACAGACATACATAAGCATTACATCAAACATCCTGTTTAGAAGTTTGTCCGTGACAGCTCGGTACGCCCCGATGTACCGCCCGGTACACCAGTACCGTACCGTACCGAGCCCGGGTCGAAACGCCGGTACGATACAGTACAGCGAACCTTGATCCACACCACAGACCTAATCCTATGCTCCAACAGTATCCTGGACCACTAGGTGCTAACCCAGTCTAAGAATTTAATACAAAGTCGCTTCCAATTTTTGGATGATGAAGATATCACTTATCTGCACAAATGTATTTATATATATATATATATATATATATATATATATATATATATATATATATATATATATATATATATTTATATGTATATAATGCTGTAAAAATCTTGCTATCTTTAGAACAGAAGCATTTTGATGCACCTCAACTTCCATTTAATACTGAGGAATACTCAAAAGATATCTTGTAGTTTGTGAACTACAAGATGATAAGTATCATACTATGTATGAATATGAGAATAATAAAATTATCCTACCTAAAGCAAACTACAACTCTCTAAACTTTGTTTGCACAATATCTATAATGCTATTATATGTTACTATCTAATGTGTGTATACATGGTTGTCCTTGCTAGTAAAGCCTATGTGGCTCAAGACTCATCTATCACCTCAGCAGCAGCCTAGTCACCTAAGCAGCCACCAATATGAACACTGTGAGGGTTCCACATCTAGACTATTCATTGCCTGAAAAAAATTGACCACTTCAAGATAAATTTGTACCATATAGTAAGTTGACTTTCTTGGAAAATAGAGCGTACCATGGGATATAGGAAAGGGCTAAAAGGCCCTGTTTTCAAGTCTCTTTGAATTGTAGAAATTTGACCTGCAAAGAGAAGATAACTTAGTCATGAGAAAAGAGATAAACTAGAAACAAATATATTAGTTTTGAGAAAAGTTGAATTGATTTCTAAGATGAATAGTTCCAGGAATTATTGCATACATACAAACATATATATATACATGTATATATGTGTGTATATACATATATACATATGTATATATATATACACACACACATATACATATACATATACATACATATATATATATATACATAACTATATATAACACGAGGTTGTACTAATAAAAATTTTGGCCACTTCTAGATAGTATCATAAGCTAAGCTTAGAGTGTTAAGCTTAGAGTAAACACAAGATAGAAACACATCTTCCAACTGCTACGACTCAGATCATTCAATATAACTCAATCGACATCCTCTTACAATTGCCAAATGATGAAATGAGAAGTCGAACAACTGAACAATGCTATACAATTTGATAAATCAAAAGAAGAGGCTGACCTCAGAAAACAGACAAGCTACTCAAAGTTACAATGTTTGAATTAGTCTATGACAATGTCAATCAAAAAGGAAGGAAACTCAACCAGATTACTAAAAAAAAAAAAAAAAAAGGAAATATGCCAATTAAACAATGTGTAAGGACGTAATTGCAGTTCACCTAACAATAAAGCTCATATGAATTTTCAAGGTTAATGCAAACAGCAGGTGTAAACTGATTACATCTGCCTCATTGTTTTGTGACGAGAAGGTAGGAAAATAATCATCAGTAACATAAGTACCATCTAGTTTTATCTAAAGAACAAGATATGAAATGGCATGCTTCATCATACAATCTCATGCGTTTACTCCAATTCAAACATAAAAACTACCAATATTATCATTATATTCTAACTAGATAGAGTTAGACTACTTCAAACTAAAAAATAATTATACACGATTACTTAAAAGCCAGTTGATGAGAAGCCTATTTGTGTTAGTATCCGCTTGCACTCTTGCATTTTGCATTATTTTCATATTCCAAATTAT